TTAATTAACTATATATATATATTTTTTTTTCCTTTAGACATTGTAATTGTTACAACTTGGAGATGGGAAAAGCCCTAATGACTAGGTTTTTATTGTTTTTTTGGGGGGGTTTTTTTTTTCCCTTACAACACTTACACTTTTATTCTAAAAGCATCATTATTTTGGCATTTAAGATGGTCCATTTAAGATGGTCCATTTAAGATGGTCCAGACAGATCCTAATAGTCCCTATGTATTAAGAAATGGAATTAGCTGTAATTCAAGTCCTCCCAGATCTTTTGGAAAAGCATACAGGTGTATATAGGCAAAATTCCACTGTTGTTTTCCAAACCCTCTTTAGTGATAGAGCTGGAAAAAAATCATTTTAAGTTTTTACCTTTGCACTAGTTTTCCAATTTAACATGTTACACTTGCTTTTCTTACAATATGTGGTTTCATCAACTAGTTAGTCTTTTTCTACAATACTTTATATGTATACTCTTATTTTCTTATTTAATTCCTAACTTTAACTCATAATTTTCTACGAAAAAGGAGGAAAAATGTTGAGCAACAAAGGTCAGTTGATTTGGTAATTATTTTCTTCTCCAATAATACATTTTTTGTCAATAATCTTCAGTTTAATTTACTTATCCTTGGAGGCTTCATTAGACCTACTAATGAACTGGCATCATTTTAATTAGAATTAACACTTTCATCTGCTTATGAATATATATAAGACAAATTTGCAATGCTGGCCATCTGGGAAACAGTCAAGCTGTCATAGCAAAATTAAGACATATCTCATGAAATACTACTACTCCATGGTGACCAGGCTGTAAATAAATAAACATCGATTCTTATCAGATTGGGGGAAATTCTTTCACAGCAGCTTTGCTATCTCCTTTAGGAATTCTTACATACTTTGAAAAGTAATATTCATTTAAAGAGACATTTCACATGCAATGCTAGTCTTTCTTCAATGTTTCGTTAGTAGGTATAAGAATTATATGCTATGTTTTCCAGTCAAACCATTCAATTGTGTAAGCATCATTAATATATACGATTCAAAGATCATAATCCCTTCCTAAGGAGGCCAGGAAAGAATATTAATGGAAGAGTTATATTAAGCAATTATTTTTCCATTTCCTCCAGTCAAATTTTTTGTGCATTTATTCTAGGAAATTACTTTTTAAAGGGAGGGAGGAATCAGGAAGAGAGGGAGAGAGAGAGACTAAGGGGCTCTTCTTTTGAAGAGCAAGACTCTATTCAAACAGTGACTCAGCATGATGTGGACTGACACTCACTCCTTAGGAAGAAGATAATAATGCTCACCATAAAATTCTGAAAATATATTTTAAGATTAAATGTCAAATGATTTTTCCAAATCCTTAGTTGTGATGAATTGTGATGAATAACTATATAAAAACTATTAAGATTCTAATACTCAATACATACCAATAACAAAAGATGAAAACAAGTCACGTTTGACTTCTGAAATTATAAGAGGTGCTCAATGCGGTTACCATCAGCATCCAGACACTTCTGATTATGGCGAACTATTGATTGAGCAACATTGACCGAAGTGTCTGTACACCTGTATACATATTTTTGGTACCCCGGTATATATTAAAAAACAGGAATAAAAATGGCATAATATAATCAGAATTGTACATGAAGTTTAATCAGGTACATAGTATACAAAACTTAAATATAAATAAACATCATGATAAAATATTCACCCAGCTTAAGTTGATTTCTTAAGGGCATAAATAGGGGAGAGGTCAGCAAGAAAGAGAAACATAAAAACAAATGAATGACAATACACAGTAGTAACAAATTTGCACAGGGGCACTATTGAAGATATATAGCCCCAAAACGCTTATGCGTGCATAGAACATACAGAACGTGTTTTATAATTTGAAACTTATTTTAGCTGAAAACAAAGGTCCTTATTTAGTACCTTAAACAGGTACAATATATTGCTTATTTTAGAAATATCTTAGCAAAAAGACACTTGTGCAAGATTATCAACAACTTGGGAATAATTTTTTTAAATGCCCATTCTAAATATATTTTATAACATGACAAGTATAGTATATAAAATCATAGGTTCTATGTAAGTGTATATCCCTTTATAAAAACAACAACACATTTGAACAGTATCATGTGGCAAGGTCTATGTGTATTGTATGGCAGATGTCGTGACAATTCACAGCAATTGACACTTTCCCAGAATGTAATAAGTAGGAAGTAAATGCTTGTTATGCTTACAACATACATTAATAAACACATATCTAGCATTGCTGAAAGTTCAATATAATCTGAATGCAAGGAGGAAATAATGGGAACCCACTTGAAATTAAGTCTCATGGATCACATAAAATCTATTTTGTATTTCTAAGTAAAAGACAATCTGATTTTATTTACCACTAACTCATGTGTATTATTTTACACAAAGAATATAAGCTATTAACTGACCAATTTTTAACAAATACACTTTTAGTGACTGCCATGGCAACTAGTAAAGATGTTGCATAGTGAGACAATTAACAAGCTAATATCAGAACACTTGAGAAAGGTCGCATAAGCAAAGATCCACAACTGAACTAAGAGTCCTCTAATAAACACACACACACACACACACACACACACCCTACAATTTTTACTATGATTTTTCTGACAGATATTTCTACATTTTAATCAAAACTTTTCCCCCAAAATAGATCACTATGAAATTCTCTATTGAATACTTTTGAAATTGTATTCCTTAACATACAGAAGGTGTGATCCAACAATACAGTGAATGTTTAAATAAAAAAAATTATTACAGTAAAAGACACATTGCTATTAATCCCCCTAAAAATACTCCAGCTGGTTTTGAACACCCTTCTCCCATTGTTCCTTCCACTTTCTGAAGCAGTTCTGGAAGTCCTCTTTCATGAGTGTCTTTAGTTGCACTGTCATGGCTGCCTCGATGTCCTGTATCCATTCAAAATGCTTACCTTTCATCGTCATTTTGACTTTGGGGAAGAGCCAGAAATTGTATGGTGCCAGATCTGGTGAATAAGGTGGATGAGGACACACTGCAATGTTTTTATTTGACAGAAAATTGCCGTATACCAGAAGCAATGTGTGACATGGAGCATTGTCATCATGGAGGATGATTTACGGCACACTTTAAAACATACCTTCTCTCAACCGTAGCTCACACCTGACTGACTGCACTGAACAAGTTGAAACTGTCATACACTGTTACTAAAGTTCAATCTACTACATCCTGTATTGAAGATCCCTGCCTTTTTGTTGGATGGCATAAGGCAGCAGTATTCATCGTATTTTGTGATCACAATATAAAAGGCTCCATGTCACACATCGCTTCTCCAATGGCAATTTCTGTCAAATAAAAACATCATCCACCTTAATCACTGGATCTGGCACCAACTGACTTCTGGCTCTTCCCAAAGTCACAATGACCATGAAAGGTAAATGTTTTGAATCGATTCAGGACATTGAGGCAGCCAGGACAGTGCAAATAAAGACACTCATGAAAGAAGACTTCCAGAACTGCTTCAGAAAGTGGCAAGAATGATGGGAGAAGTGTGTTTGAAGCAAGGGGCAGTATTTTGAGGGGGATTAATGGCTATGTGTCTTTTACTGTAATATTTTTTTAAATTTAAACATTCACCATATGTTTTAATCGGACCTCATATATCTAATTATTCTACTCTTCTTTACATCACTCAAAACCAATGTGTAATTCATTGCATTATATAGAATAACCTCATGTCAATTTTTAACAAATTTAAGAAAGACACATAATTCAACATTAAAGTAATAACCCAGGAAGACCAAATACCTTTACTTTGAATTAAAAATGGGTCATCAAAGGAACTATAACTTCTCATCAATAGGTATATAGAGAAATTTTGTGCTCAATTCAATAGATGATAGAGAAATTTTGAAAAAAATTAGCAACCATCATGAATAGAAACATTTATCTAAGTAATGTATGCTATTTATTTATAGGATAATTCTGAAAAATGCATAATTAAATATAGTATTTCATATGTTTGGCAAAATAGTTCATATTTAGCTATCTATAAATACATGTGAAGATAGCCATTTACATAATGCAATTAGTAAATTAACAGAGAATACTTAGAGAAGCTCTCATATAATCCATATTTATTGCCATTTCAAAATTTTACCAATTAATGTTTTTAGTTAATTTTATTGAAAATATTTCATTGGTCAAAATAGAGATAAAAAATACAGGATTTTTCACTGTGATAGGGTGAAAAATAATACATCCTGAATGTTACCTTCAAAACTAGAAAAAAAATAAAACAAACAAGGATGTTTGTCATTTAAAAAAAATACAGTGATCCTATTTAAAGAATCTATCTAAGACAACGGTTGTTTATCTCTGTCCAACAAACAGGTTTTGCATCTTTCAAGAGGTTTTCATGACATTTTATAGCAGCTACTTTTGATACTATCAAATAATGGAAATAAATTATGCTTTTACCTCGTCCACTATTAAAGATAAAGCAGAGCTTGCTTTTTGTGCTCCCAAAATTCCCATCAATTTTGGTACTACATGCTTCTTTACATGATGATAGTCCTTGTACAGAGTAACTGGAAATCTCTATCCCTGTAAATTTATCACCACTCTATAGATCCCTGTAAAACTGAGACTACCAGTTTCAGTAATACTGTGTTGAAACTCATTCTAAAAACAGAGAATTTGTCCTAAGTTCAGTTTGAAAATAGTAACTGGTTATCAAAGTTTATTTTTCACAGAGAATCATAATGATGAACTATTTATAACATTAAATTTTTCCAATGTATATTAATATATGCTAAAAGATAAAAAATTCCAATTTTTTTGGAACAAAAAAGGAACTACACTTTTAAAAGGCCATTTGCATAACTGAGGACACCAGTAATTTCTTTAATTCTTACTATAAGTCATTATCTCAAAGGACTCAAAAATATCGTGGCTGTCCCCCAATATCATCATCATGTGTAGTTGAGTTTATCATGACTTCCCACGTAATCATAACTGTTATTAGACATAAAATCAAGAATGTTTTTCTCACAAAGGATAGTAAGATATCTTAAACCAAAATAAACACGTTAAGTATATTTATATCAAAAACTCTATTCTTCAACCCTGTCTCCCTAACTCCTTTCTCTGTATCAAGTCTTTCCTTTGGTTTTTCTTTTGATGCCTATTTTCCTTAGAACTATGTTGTCCTTTGAAATATCATTCTCTAGGGCTTATGTGAAATCGTAAAAATGAAAATTATTACATTTTTGTTCATAAGGGAATACACACTCAATCATACATCTGTAGTTCCGATGCTGGCTGTGGATATATAATGAAAACCTTGTAATGAAAAATTATTCCCAACTTTTAAGATATGTGATATCATAATTTTACTATTTATAGTTGTTATAATACTTGGAATATGGTTTAATATGAATTATGTACATAAATATTAAATACAATATTTTATTATTGTATTTACATAAAAAGTGAGATCATTTCCTTCTCTCATAAAGTTTTGACATTTTATCTTCAATGTACTATTGGGTTGTCGGAAACGTCATGACGTACTTTTTCTATGTTTTTCTTTGCAAAAATGCATCATGACGTTTCCGACAACCCAACATATCCTATCCAAGTACAAGGTTTATCTTGAAAGTTTTCTTTTGCTATCTGTGGATGCTACACAATCAAACCTTTTTCAAAATACAGTAAAACCTTGGATTGCGAGTAACTTGGTTTGCGAGTGTTCTGCAAGATGAGCAAACATTTTTATTAGGTCTGTTACTCGTAATGGCAAAAACCACTATTACTTTTGCACCAACCTAATAATACATTTTAACTTGGTAAACAAGCGATCCTGCAATATGAGTAGTTTGTTTCCAGTACGAATTATGCTCGCAAACTGAGGTATTACTGTAGTTGATTCCTATTTATTTCTATGAAAAGAAAATAGGGTTTGAATATATGGAAATAACTTTTCTTTGAATATTTAATTTAGCATTATTAGTTCAGTTTATGTCTGCTTTGATGGAACACCGATACATAGCTTACTGCTTATTTGTTGATAAAAAATATCTGGAATATTTGTATTAGACATAGCTTAAAGTTTAAACTAAAAAGCTTTTATTCTATGGATTAAATAATTTTTACACATGTGCTGATTATGGGTAAAATTTATATGTCACTTCTATGCCAAGGCTTTTAAGGTGTGCACTCTACATGGTCTCCTCTTTCCACTCATTAGATACAGATGACTACAAGGCCATAGGTGAGAGTGGAGCTACAGATACAAAAGGTATAATTAATTATTTTATTTTCTGTATGAAGGAAAGACCTCAACAACCAGGAATATTTTGGACTGTAATGTAAATGAAAAATGAACTTCAACATGTTAAGGCTCTAAAATTTCAAATTTTACCTTCTCAGCTTTTAAATTATCATCCTATCTCAAATATATATTTATTTATATATTTATAGTAAATTCCCCATCAATTGGGATATACCCAAAACAAAAATCTAAATTATGTGGCATTAGCTTAACAGTCAGGGAGCAGGTAACCTATACAACTGCAACAGGAGACTGGACTGATGAAAACCGATATTATACAGTAGTATCACTCTTGGTAAAGTATTGGGTTGTTGGAAAAGTCATGACACATTTTTACAATGAAAAACATAGAAAAAATACATCATGACTTTTCCGACAACCCAATATTATCTGCTATAACTTGCAAGGCAGGTCAAGTACTGATTTCTGTGTATTGACTGCTAGTTGATGCATTCAACAACATATTTCCAGAAACTGATAAGCTCAGGCAATAACTGGCTGGGTTGAAAGTTAAAGAAAAAAGGAATAAGGGAATATAGAACTTTAGTGTTTTCAGGATTGGAAAAGATGATTTCTTCACCATAAAACAGAGACAAACTAAAACAAACAAACAAACAAACAATCTTGAGCACTAAAGATAAAGTCATCCTACTTAAACAAAGAGACTCAGACCTATGTCCAAGACGTTTCAAACCCTATTATTTAAAATGACATCAACTTAGTTGCCATTAAGTTGAGGAAGGTATGTGAATACAGAGGCAAGTAGATAAGTTAATAAATAAAACACACTTGGAAATTGTGCCAAAGAAAGAACTTTGGATGTAGACTTTCATGTGTAATTTCTGGCACGTGGAAATGAAAAAAAAAAAAAGATTAAAAGCTACTGTGAATTTTAGGAAATCTCATTGCCAACAAATCATGAGTCTGGTATAAAAGAGCCTATAGCTATGAAAGATCCTTAAGCCCCTCAAATAGATGAGCATGAAACAAGTATGAAAGCTGTTCAGCCACCAATAACTATTTCAGAAACTCAAGAGTAATAAAAGACGTTCACAGACAGCGGAGCCAGAGGCCATTGAGAACAATGGATAAGAATGTCCCACTGAATCAGTGTCCAAATCTGCTGAGGTTTTCACAATGCCTGTCCATCACTGCTTATGGAGCACTCATGGCCATATGGTTCCCATGATTCTTATTTTAATGGGAGTTTTCTGTTGATTTTACCATTGTTTCAAACATATTTTGAGTTAGGAGTAGATATCCTGTCACTTTGTTTTTGGGTCACCAGCTGACAAAAAGACATAGTTGAACCTGATGAAGAAAAATTTCTCTTATCCGATATATGAGGACGACCATGTATGGTATGTTTTGTACGTAAAGTGGCAGACCACTGACTGCATAAACAACCAAGTACGTACAAAAATTTGGGCTTCCTCTTCAAGGACAGAGAATTGTAGCTGGAAAGTGACTACTGAGCCAGCAAGAACATATAAGAACAATCCGCCACCATTTGCAGATAGGTGTGGTCATACAACTAGTTTTCTCTGCTGGCGTGTGAAAGAAAATTACTATGTCTCTTCAGATCTGGGTTGGTTAAAAACCATATCTGCCTTCCCCAACTCCTTTTGCAATCTCTCAGCTGGACACAGAAAACTACAAGTCTCTAAGAGATGGTTGGTTTACTAAATGCAAGCAGTCTGGATCTCTGAATTCCTGGAATCCTGTCATCCAGGAATGCTAAAATGAATTTTTTGATAAACTTATTAGGGATTTTAAATTTTGTCTACAAGTGCAGGATTAATGCAACTACAAAATTCCCAAATTAAAAAAAAAAAAGACAAAGAAACAGAAAACAAGTCAGCCTACAAGTATAATTCCAAAGTACATGATCAATACTAATGCTTACAAATATAGTCAATACATAAAGATCAGTAGATCAATTTATTTTTTGTTTTATTAAGATAACATTGGTTTACAACATATATAAATTTCAGGTGTGCAATTATAATTCAATATCTGTATTTACTACATCATGCTCACCACCAAAAGTCTAGTTTCCATCCATCACCATACAATTGACCCCCTTTCCCCATTTTGCTCTCCCTCTACCCCCCTTTCTCTGGTAACTAACAATCTGTTGTCTGCTTCTATGATTTTTTATGTCATTGTTCTTTTGTTTTTTCATTTGTTTTGTTTTTGTTTTATATTCCACAATGAGTGAAATCATACAGTATTCATTATTTTTCCATGTGACATTTCACTTAGCAGAATACCCTCAAGTTCCATCCATGTGGTTGCAAACGACAGGATCTCACCTTTTTTTATGGCTTTTTATACATACATACTGTATGTATATGTGTATATACCACATCTTCTTTTACTCATTCATCTGTCCATGGACACTTAGGTTAGGTTGTTTCCATATCTTGGCTATTGTAAGCAATTCTGCAATGAACGTAGGGGTGCATATATTCTTTTGAAATAGTGTTTTTGTATTATTTGGATAAATACCCAGAAGTGAAATGCCTGGATCATATGGTAATTCTATTCTTAATTTTCTGGGAAATCTCCATACTGTTTTCCATTATGGCTGCACCAATTTACATTCCTATGAAGAGTACACAAGGATTCCCTTTCTCCACACCTCTCCAAGATTTGTTTCTTGTCTTTTGGATACTAGCCACTCTGAGAGGTATGAGGTATATCTCATTGTGGTTTGGGTTTGCATTTCCCTAATAATTAGTGATGTTGAATATTTTTTTTACAATTTTTAAAAGTTATTTATTATTTTCATTTACAGTTGATATTCAATATTATTTTATATTAGTTTTATGTGTACACTATAGTGGTTAGATAGTTATGTAATTTATTTTTTTTAATTTGTTAGTTTCAGGTGTACAGAACAATGCGATAATTATCCTTTTCACCCTTCACACAGAAACAACCCCCCTCCCCCATCTACTGCCCTCCCACCCCTGATATCATACTTATTACAATTCCATTGACTCGATTCCCACTCTCTACTCCACATCCCATGACTATATGTATATATAATTATAGTTGGCATACAATGTTATTCAACATCAGCTTCAGAAATACAGTGCGGTGGTCAGGCCTCTACACCGACTATGAAGTGGTCTCCCTAACAAGACATGAGTCCATCTGGCCCCCTAAAAAATATTTACAACATTATTGATTATATTCCCAGGCTGTCTTTTCTATCCCTGAGGCCATATTGTAGTTACCAATTTGTATTGTCTCGTCCCTTCCCCTTCTCCTTCATCCCCACTCCCTCCCAACTAGCAACCCTGTTTTTTCTCTGAGAAAGACAAATACCATATGCTCTCACTTATACATGGATTATAAAAAACTGAATAAATGAGAAATGTAAACAGAAGTAGTCTCAGAGACACAGAGGAAAAACTGAGTGTTGAATATCTTTTAATTTGCCTGTTGGCCATCTGTACGTATTCTTTGGAAAAATGTCTATTCAGTTTCTCTGCCCATTTTTTAATTGGGATTTTTTTTTTGGTGTCATTGGTTGCCTTTTTGTTTCATTGATGGGTTTCTTTACTGTGCAGAGCTTTTTAGCTTGATGTAGACACATTTGTTATTTTTGCTTTTGTTTCCTTGCCCCTAGAGTCCAAAAAAAATCATCACTTAAGACTGATGTCAAGGAGCTTACTGCCTATATGTTTTCTTCCATGTATTTTATGACTTCAGGTCTAACATTCAAGTCTTTAATTGGTTTTCAGTTCATTTTTGTGTATGATGTAAAATAGTGGTCTAGGATCATTTTTTTTTTTGGCATGAGGCAGTTGTCCAATTTCTAAACATGACTTATTGAAAAGACTTTCCTTTTTCCACTGTGTGTTCTCGGCTCCTCTGTCATAAATTAGCTGTCCATGTAAGTGTGGGTGTATTCCTGGGCTCTTGATTCTGTTTCATTGATCCGTGTGTCTGTTTTTATGCTGATACCATACTATTTTGGTTACTATAGTTTTGTGGTATATTTTGAAATCAGGGATTGTGATACCTCCAGCTTTTTTTTTTTTTCCTCTGTGTTGCTTTGGCTATTCAAGGTCTTTGTAAAGTCATACAAATTTTGAATTTTTTTTCTATATCTGTGAAAAATGTCATCATAATTTTGATAGGGATTGAATTGAATGTGTAGATTACTTTGTGTTAATTTTTTTCAATCCATGAACTTGGAATATCTTTGCAATTTTTTGTGTCTTCTTCAATTTCTTTCAATAATGTCTTATAATTTTCAGGGTACAGATCTTTCACTTTCTTGGTTAAATATACTTCTATGTATATTATTCTTTTTGTTGCAATTGTAAATGGGATGTTCTTAATTTCTCCTTCTGATGTTTCAATTTAGTTTATATAAACACAACAGATTTTTGTATATTGTTTATACCCTGCAACTTTATTGTACTTATTATTTTTAACAGTTTTTGTTGGGGGGTATTTGAAGTTTTCTATGTATGAAATTATGTAACCTGCAAACAATGACAGTTTTACACCTTCCTTCCCAATTTGGGTACATTTTATTTGTATTTCTTACCTGATTTCTCTAGTTAGGACTCCCCATTCTGTTAAATAGTGGTGGTGGTAGGCATCTTCTTTTGTTCCTGATATTAGAGAAAAAATTTCAGCTTTTCACCATTGCATCTGATATTAGCTGTGGGTTTGTCATATATGGCAATATTATGTTGAGGTACTTTCCTTCCATACCCATTTCATCGAGAGCCTTTTATCATAAATGAATATTGAATATTGTCAAATGTTTTTTCTGCATCTGTTGAGGTGACCACCTAATTTTTATCCTTTATTTTGTTAATTTGGAGTATCACACTGATTGATTTGTAGATAATGAACCATCTTTGTGTCCCTGGAATAAACCCAACTTGATGGTTTATAATCCTTTTAATGATTTGTAGATAATGAACCATCTTTGTGTCCTTGGAATAAACCCAAACTTGATGGTTTATAATCCTTTTAATGCATTTTTTAATGCAATTTGTTAATATTTTGTTGCAAATTCCTGTATTGATGTTCATTGGAGATATTAGTCTGTAATTTTTTGTGTGTGAGTGTTGTTCTTGTCTAGTTTTGGTATCAGGGTAATGTTGACCTCATAAAATGAATTAGAAAGCATCCTTCCTATTCATTTTTTGCAAAGATTTTGAGGATAGGTGTTAAATTTTTTAATATTTGGTAGCATTCACCATTGAACCATCTGGTCCTGGACTTTTGTTTTGGGAGGTTTTTAATTACTATTTCAATCTCCTTATTAGTGATCAGTGTGTTCAGATTTTCTATTTCTTCATGATTCAGTCTTAGAAGGTTGTATGATACTAAGAATTTATCCATTTCCTCTAGCTTTTCTAATCTATTGATGAGTGTATAGCTGTTTATAGTAGTCTCTTACGATACTTTGCATTTCTGTGTAACTTCTCTTTCTTTTCTGATTTTTGTTATTTGTGCCATCTCTCTTTTTCTCTTAGACTAGCTAAAGGTTTGTCAATTTTGTTTCTCTTTCAAAGAACTAGCTCTCAGTTTCATTGATCATTTCTATTGTCTTTTTAGTCTCTATTTCATTTATTTCTGGCCTGATTTTTTTTTCTTTCCTTCCTTCTAGTGACTTTGGGCTTTGCTTATTTTTATTTTTCTAATTACCCTAATTGTAAGGTAAGATTGTTTATTAGAGATTTTTCTTGTTTCTTGAGGTAGGCCTGATTGCTACTATAAACTTCCTTCTTAGTACTGCTTTTGATGTGTCCCATAGATATAGATATGTTGTGTTTCCATTTTCATTTGTCTTCATGTATTTTTTATTTCTTCCTTGATTTCCTTGTTGTACAAATAGTTGTTCATCAGCATGTTGTTTAATCTCCACATGTCTGAATTTTCCAATATTCTTCTTATAGTTGATTTCTAGTTTCATACTGTTGTGGTTGGAAAAGTTGCTTGATATGATTTCAATCTTGTTAAATTTATTGAGACTTGTATTGTGTACCAACATAGAATCTAACCCTGAGAATGTTCCATATGTACTTGAAAATATTGTGTATTCTGTAGCTTTTGGGTGAAATCTTCTGCATATATCCATTAGGTTCATGTAGTTTAATATGTAATTTAAGGCATCTGTCTCCTTGTTGACTTTCTCTCTGATCTATCCATTGATGTAAGTGGGGTGTTCAAGTCCCTTACTATTATTGTGTTGCTGTCAATTTCTTCCTTTAGATCTGTTAATAGTTGCTTCATAGATTTTGTTGCTATGGTGGGTACATAAATATTGATAAATGTATGTCTTCTTGATGGATTGTACCCTTTATCACTACATAGTGTCCAACTGTCTCTTCATTACATTTTTTTTGGCATGAAGTCTGTTTCGTCTGATATAAAGATGGCTTTACCTGCTTTCTTTTGGCTACTGTTTACTTAGATAATGTTTTACCCTTTACTTTGAGTCTATGTTTGTCTTTAGAGCTGTGATGAATCTTCTACAGGAAGCATGTTTTTGTTTTGTTTTGTTTTTTAATCCATCCAGCAACTGTGTCTTTTCATTGATGAATTCATACCATTTACATTTAGAGTAATTATTGATATATGAGAGCTTACTACCCCATTTCAGCTTTTGTTTTTTGCTTGTTTTATATCTTCATTATTTCCTTCCCCTTCTGTTTCTGTCAGCTAGTTTAGTTTGGTGGTTTATATATTATTTTTCTCACTTTCCTCTTTTTTGTTTTATGTCTCTGCTCTAGATTCTTGTTTTGTGGTTACCATGTGGTTTGTATAAAACATTTAGTCCTTTTTCCACTCATAGTGTGTATTCTTTATTTGACTATACAGATTCATCCTTTTTTTTCCTTCCCTATTATGTTTTTGTTGTCACAAATTGTTTCCTTTTTATGTTGTGTGCTTCTTACCAAATTTCAGTAGCTACAGTTATTTTTAGTGTCTTTTTTCCCTTTAAACTTTATACTAAATTTAAGCTTTAACACCCTATTCTGAAGTAGTTTTCAAATTTCTGAAACCATTTATCACATTACCTTGATGGATAGTCTATTCTTGGTGGGTGTCTTTTTTTTTTTTAAGTCTTTCAATATTTTGACATCATCCCACTATCTCCTAGCTTATAGTTTCTGCTGAGAAATATGCTGATGGTCTAATTAAGTTTACTTTTGTAGGTTACTGTGTTTTTTTCCCCTGCCTGCTTTTAAAATTATTTCCTTACCATTGACTTTTGACAATTTTAATATAATATAATATGTCTTAGAGAAGGGCTTTTTGGGTTGAGATAAACAGGTGTTTTTCTAGCTTCATGGATTTGTATATCCAGTTCTTTCCCAGATTTGGGAAGTTCTCAGCTATTATTTCTTTAAGTAAGCTCTCTGCTCCCATTTCCCTCTCTCCATCTTTTGGGAAGCCCACTATTTTAAATGGCTTCTCCTAATGAAGTTAAATTATTCTTGTAGAGTTTCTACTTTTTTTTATATCTTAGCTCTGGCTTCGCTTGCACTTGAATCATTTCTAGATTTCTATCTTCAGGCTCACTAATTCATTCTTCCATATGGTCTGCTCCACTTCTACAGCTTTTTAAATCATTCTTTGTCTCAATGAAGTTCTTCAGCTCCAGAATTTCTATTTGGTTCTTTTTTAGAGTTTCAGTCTCTTTGGTATAGTACTTCTTCTGTTCTTTAATTTTGTTCCTGAGCTCACTGAACTGTCTTTCTAAATTTTCTTGTAGCTTGCTGAATTTCTTCATGACAACTATTCTGAATTCTCTGTTAGTTAGATCACAATCTTCACTGCCATTACCAGTGGCATTGCCAGTGCCCTTGTCACTGCTTGTGCCTCCTAGGTTGCTGGTGCCTTGCTACTGTTGGTATTATGGGGTCATTGATATTGCTGCTGTTCCTGGAGCCCCAATTTTGGGGACCCCCACAGTTCCTGGAGCCTCAAGTTACAGGCACAGCTGCCACTGCTGAGTAATCAATGCTGCCACAGTTCCTGAAGCCCTTTGCCACTGATGCCACCACAGTACCTGGTGCCTCTGATCATGGGCTCCATTGACACTGCTCCTCTGGGCCCACTATCTCCATGAGGTCCCATCCACCCACCTTCAGATGTACAGATGTATGGATCTCTCAGGCATCCTGATGTGCTCTAAAGAGGATCCAATATTAGGCTATGGATTCCCTATGGTTGTAATTTAAAGGAAAGAGACAAAGGGGTTGATTCACTCACCATGATGCTGACATAACCCAGGAGACTAATTTAGACCCAATTTCTTTCTAAATTAATTTGAATGTGACTTTAAGATCTATAAAGAATAAGATAACCTCCCTAAAAAAGAAAAATAAATTATGAAACAAACTAGGCAGAAATAAAACAATGACAAATGAAAAAAAAATGAGTAACAAAAACCAGAGAAGATAAAACAGCTCAACACATGAGGTAAACTGTTATCTATGTATAGTCAAAGTGAAAATTCATAATGTGGAAATTAGTGATGTTGAAATATTCAAAATAAATCAGAGACACAGAGGATAATATTAAAAGTCTCCAACAAATATCTAATAAGTATTCTAGAAATAGAAAACAGAAGAACATAACAACACACACATACTCTCTCTTTGTCAGGTTAAAGACACAGAATGGAAAGCAGGGAAAAAACAAATCTGTGCCACTTATATCACAATGTAACTCAATACCAAACATATGGAACCTATAGATAATCTCCCAAGTAATTACATGAGACCGCCAGAAGAACATTAGCAACACTAGATTCTTTTGGTCAGAGAAATGATATTTTTAGAGTGTTGAGAAAAATAATAGTCACCTAGTATTCTACATCCGAATACATAGCCATTGAAGAAGGAGGGAAAAATAAATATATTTTTATATATCTACAAAATAAAGAGCTTAAACACTTATAGAACCTTGCCAAAAGATCTACCAAAGGATACACTTTAACAAATGGAATACTGAAACCAGAAGAAAGGAGATAATGATAAAAAAATAAGAAATATAAACACAGTTAATATATCTTGGTGTATCTATGTGTTGACTTTATAAGCCTATTAATCTGGTTTCTTTAAAAGATAGACTAAGATTCTGGACAATATTCACAAGAAAGGTATCAATTTCAGTGGGTGTCATGGTATGTCATGTTTGGAAAGAGAATAGAAATTTTGAACAATTTTATCCCCTCTTAAAAATATATGTGTTAAGAAAAGATTTTTAAAAATGAGTATGCCCACATATAAATATGATTTATAGCTTTCAAGCTTTCAAAAGAGTAAAACAGGAACAAAAATTCAAGTTAAAATTTGGTTATATTAATTTATTAAAAATAATCATTTCAAACTAGTCTATGTTTTAACCTATTTTTAAATTTATGACAAAGAACAATGCTAATTATTTAACTTTGCTTTGCTTGGAAATAATACCTTCCATCTTTAGACTATCACTCCAAGCCTCTTGATTTCATATTCTTCTCAAGCTGAATCAAAGCCTATAATTGCTTCATAAAAAAAGCAGTTTTATTTGAAATTGAAGGTTATATTATAAGAGTCCATATTTATTTTATGAGAACCTTTAGAAAGTAAAAATACTATTTGGA